TTACGTTTGCACCATGTTCTCTGTTTAAGCGCCCCCCGAAACTACCGGACAAAGCTGGTAGTTCGAAGTTCATGCGCAGCGTGAATACCCCCTACACTGCAGAGAAGTCAGAATCACCCAACACATCCAACTTCCGGCGGGCGATGGAGCAATAGTTGTTCAGCAACGGTTTTATCGACACACTGTTTGGCACCGTTATCCTCCGCTCGAAGAGCTCGTAGTGGAAGAAATCAAAAACTGCGATAAAAAGGCGATGAGTCAGGTGGGCGTGGGGATTTTGAACGCCATGGTGTGCCGCTTAAGAACCAAACTCGAGGTGAATGAGAGATTTTGCACTCGCACTATGGTGACTGAAATAGTTTGAGCACGTTTTCCGTAGCCCGCTTTATGAGTTCCATATTGCAGTCACTGATTCAATGCCACTGTGCGCATGAGAGCGGCGACGAGGTGGTTACATAAGGACGTGGCGGGAGTCCATCACTGGGTGGATTCTAGTCCACAGCAACCTCTCAGAAACTTTCGCTATTCGGTCTGGCGTTCGACAAGGCTGTGTCCTGACGCCCATCCTCTTTAACTACGTCATAGACTGGGTTCTCGGGAAGGCACTAGAGGAAAATGACGGTATTGAGCTTGCACCCGGGTGCCGGTTGACTGACCTCGACGATGCCGATGATATCGCTTTATTAGCTTCAAGCTTTGGCGATCTACAGTCTATGGTGTCACGGGTGAACGAGGTCGCGAAATCGCTTAGTTTGTTCATAAACGCTGGGAAGACTAAAGTGTTTTCATGCTGCATCCCTGCCCAAGAGAAGGCACCTCTCGAGCTTAGTGGCTATCAACTTCGAGAAGTAGACAGTTTCAAAAACCAAGAAGCAAGGTTGTTGCCGAATGAACAAATTAAAGATGAGATGGTCTCGCGAATTGACGCAGCACGAGTTTTCCTCAGCCTTCGAAAATGCCTATGGACCCGACGCGATATATCTATCTCCACAAAGATCCGCCTTTACCGTGCATCTGTGCGGTCCATTCTTCTATACGGATGCGAATTTTGGGCTATGGTCGTGGAAGATGACCGGAAACTGAAAGTCTTTGACCACTGCTGCTTGAGAACCGTCCTTCGAGTGAAGTACACTGACCTCGTCTCAAATGAGACAGTCCGTACTCGCTGCAACAACATCGCAAGGATATCCTAGGCAATCAAAGAAAGACGACTGGGCTGGTTTGGACACGTTTTTTGTCATCAACCTCAGGAGCTCAGTGTTACTGTCCTCCACTTGAAACCGTTACCTAATTGGAAACGTCGAAGTGGGGATCGGCTCAAAACCTGGCTCAACCCAATCCGTCGGGACATGGAAGTGGTTCTTGGACCTTCGGTATTCGGTCTCT